GGGGGGGAAGGAATGGAGTGAAGTGCGGAGGAGTGTCGAGGAGGGCGATGGAGTGCGGAGGAATGGGAGGCTCTGGAGGGCTCCTTGGAGGCCTCTGGAGGGCTCCTTGGAGACCTCTGGGGGACGCTTTCGTGGACTCCTGGGCTTAGCTGCCCCGATACGCAACACGCCACACGGAACTTGGCCCAACACGTAGGCTCAAAACGGAGACCTGGTTCCAACGAAAAGCAACATGGAGGGAGTTTCGAGAGGCTCTTCGGAGAGCCCAAGAGGCTCTCCGGAGAGCCCAAGAGGCTCTTCGGCCGCTCCAAGAGGCTCTTCGGCGGCTGGAAGAGGCTCTTCGGCGGCTCGAAGAGGCTCTTCGTAGAGCCCCAGAGGCTCTTCGGAGAGCCCCAGAGGCTCTTCCGAGAGACTCTTCGGTGAAGGGGGGGTGGGAGGAGGCTCTTTGGAGACCCCCTCCTTCACCGTACTCGTTGATTAATACCCTCCGGAGGAACCCTGGCCATACTAACACCCACCAGGCCGCACTAACAGCCAACGGGCCACAGTACCACCTTATCTCGGCCCACTTCTGGGGAGGAATGGGTGCTCCAGGAGGGTGGGTGGGGGGGATAAGCCCCACTTGCGTGGGTGAGCTCCGCCCTCAGGCCTTCAGTGCGCCACCCTGGCGGGGCTGAGCCCAGGCCCCCGTCCAGCCACGAGGGGAGAGGACGGGGGAAAGAGAGCCCTAGAAAGAAAGAGGGAAGGGAGGGGGAGTAAAGCAGGGGGCAGAAGGTGGCAAGGAGGGCACGGCTGGCTGGGAGGGGATAAAGCCCCCAACCCCGCTGGCCCCCAGGACTCCGGCCGGCTTGCAGGCCGCGCTGTGGGTCTGGGCGGGACGGCGGCGGGATGGGAGGAGGGAGCGGGGTGGAGGCAGGAGGATCACAGAGGAGGTGGAGAAGGAGGAGGAGGAGAACGAGGAGGGGGGGAGGAGAACAGGAGGAGGAAAGGAGAAAAGGAAGAGGAGAAGGGCGACGAGAAGGAAGAGGAGAAGGAAGAGACGGGGAGGAGGAGGAGGAGGAGGAGGAGGAGGAGCAGCAGCAGCAGCAGCAGGACGAGGAGGAGGAGGAGGAGGGAGAGGGGGAGGGGCAAGAGGAGGAGGAGGGCGAGAAGGAGGAGGAGGAGGAGGTGGAGGAGGAGGAGGAAGCGGGGAGGAGGCAGGAGGTGGAGCTGGAGGAGGAGGAGGAGGACAAGGAGGAGGCACTAGATGATGATAGGGATGAGGCGAAGAGACGAGGAGGACGATGGAGGGATGAGGAGCCAGGAGCGCGGGAAGAGGAGGAGCGGGAGCAGGGTTGTAGTGTAGCGTTGATGCCCTGAAGGGTAGGCATTACCCTTCATGTGTGTATCGGGTGGGGCGCAAGAGCAGGTTGGAGGAGGAGGGTCTGGGGAGGGAGGGAGGGAGGCAGGGAGCGGACGAGGAGCAGGAGGAGCAGGCGGAAGAGGAGGAGCAGGAGGAGGAGTAGGAGGAGGAGGAGGAGGAGGAAAAGGAGGAGGAGGAGGAGGATTGTCACGGCTGTCGTTTAAGGCACGGGTAATGTTTTACCGCTTCGTGCCCTAACAATGGTGGCACGCCATGTTCTGGATGCAACACTTGTGAAGATGCGGCTACTACCACGCCTATGCTGTGCAACACTCGCGCCAATGCCCTCCACTGCGCGGCCTATGACCGCCCATGGCCTACACGCGGGCCCTTTGCACGGTGGCTGGTAAGCCCCCCACCCCCATGCCTGACACTGCCACCTATGCCCCGCGTGCAACTGCGGAGACCCCAGGCCTGCTACGGCCTACTATGGTCTGCGAACTATCAACATGTCAAAGCATGAACCTACCTGACTGTGTGGTATGCCATGCTAGTTCAAGTGGGATGCAACCTGGAATGCACGAGTAAAGTCCCCCACGGCTGCGAAGCAGGATGGTTTACAACCGCCTGGCCTCTTCCCAGAGGAGGGCCACCCCACGACTGTGAAGCACACTTAGCTGCCCCGTGCCAATCCCCGTACTCCCATGGATGCAACACTAGTGAAGATGCGGCAACTACCACGCCTATGCTGTGCAACACTCGCGCCAATGCCCTCCACTGCACGGCCTGTGGCCACCCATGGCCTACACGCGGGCCCTTTGCACGGTGGCTGGTAAGCTCCCCACCCCCATGCCTGACACTGCCACCTGTGGCCCGCGTGCAACTGCGGAGACCCCAGGCCTGCTACGGCCTACTAAGGTCTGCGAACTATCAACATGTCAAAGCATGAACCTACCTGGCTACTCCTCCACGACGTGTCTGGGGCACGGGGCCAAAAGCACGAGGAGGATGAATAGGATGAGGAAGAGGAACAGTAGGATGAGGAGACCAAATAACGCAATACCAGACAAAAGACGCCTCTTCCGTACCAAAACGACCACCCTTCGGGTGATAAGGAGGTTTCGGGGGGGGAGTAACCAACGCGCACGGACACGAAACCGAAACCGATTTCCCGGTAGGGGGGCTCTCCGTTCCACTTCGATCTCTCCCCCTCACCTCCGATTTACATGGGACATCCTCCAATGCGCGGGGACTGCGTGTCCCATAAAAGGGACTGCGCGTCCCATTTGCCAGGACTGTGTGTCCCATAATCGAGACTGCGCGTCCCATTTGCCAGGAATGTGTGTCCCATAGCAGGGACTGCGCGTCCCATTTGCCAGGGCTGCGTGTCCCATAACAGGGACTGCGCGTCCCATTTGCCAGGACTGTGTGTCCCATAATCGAGACTGCGCGTCCCATTTGCCAGGAATGTGTGTCCCATAGCAGGGACTGCGCGTCCCATTTGCCAGGGCTGCGTGTCCCATAACAGGGACTGTGCGTCCCATTTGCCAGGACTGTGTGTCCCATAATCGAGACTGCGCGTCCCATTTGCCAGGAATGTGTGTCCCATAGCAGGGACTGCGCGTCCCATTTGCCAGGACTGCGTGTCCCATAACAGGGACTGTGCGTCCCATTTGCCAGGACTGTGTGTCCCATAATCGAGACTGCGCGTCCCATTTGCCAGGAATGTGTGTCCCATAGCAGGGACTGCGCGTCCCATTTGCCAGGACTGCGTGTCCCATAACAGGGACTGTGCGTCCCATTTGCCAGGACTGTGTGTCCCATAATCGAGACTGCGCGTCCCATTTGCCAGGAATGTGTGTCCCATAGCAGGGACTGCGCGTCCCATTTGCCAGGACTGCGTGTCCCATAACAGGGACTGTGCGTCCCATTTGCCAGGACTGTGCGTCCCATAATCGAGACTGCGCGTCCCATTTGCCAGGAATGTGTGTCCCATAGCAGGGACTGCGCGTCCCATTTGCCAAGACTGCGTGTCCCATAACAGGGACTGCGCGTCCCATTTGCCAGGACTGTGTGTCCCATAGGGAGGAGGAGGAGGAGGATTGTCTCGGCTGTCGTTTAAGACACGGGTCAAGTGTTACCGTATCGTGCCCTAACAAAAGGGAACATGACCGTCAACCTAATGAAGCGAAGCGGCGGCGGCAGCGGCCAGCCGCACTGTATATGCCTTACCCCGACCGCTATTACTCGGGTACTATGTAATCTACCTACGGATGCCTACCAGGCGAGACACGGCCCACGACTGTGAAGCCCGTTATATGGAATGCGCCACCGTCCTCCTTCTGGAGGGGGGCCGCTCCACGACTGTGAAGCCCGCTGAACTACCCTACTCTCATCCTCCCTCAACAGGAGGGCCGCCCCACGACGGTGAAGCCTTATTATCGCCAAACTCTTACCTTCGCCCTTCGCTGTCACTTGTCCCCCCACCACTAAGTGGCAATTCATCCCTTCCCCCCAGACTTTGAACCTTGCCCACCCCCCTCTCACAATGAGAGGCAGGCGAGCAACGCCCAACGACTGTGCCCTTTTAACAACCCCACTCTCATCCTCCCTCAAAAGGAGGGCTGCCCCACGACTGCGAAGCCCTAACATTGCCCCTCGCTTATCCCTTTACCTTTACGGTCACGTGTAACCCCGCGACTAGATAACAATACCTACTCGGCAAACCTCTCCCCTACTACTGCTCTCCATGGGGTCCATGTGGAGCACGGTTATCCCCTTGAAAGCTACCCACCATTATGGGAGCGGCCGCGGGGGCGAACCTTCCAATACTAAAATTCGACACCTACTGCTACAAGAAGGGCCCCACGACTGTGGGGCACCAATAACCCGGACTGCGCCGTGGCCACCTCTCTGTTGGGCGATGGCCTGCCCCACGACTGTGAAGCCCCCTAAAGCGCCAGCCCAGGCCCCAGGGCCGCCCCACGACTGTGAAGCCTCAGGGCCGCCCCAAGACTAATATGAACAATGCAAGGCGAAACTTGTTGTCCCGGCTCTCCGGGCTCCTTAATAATCCCCCCCCCCACGTCCACTAAGTGGTCCTGTCGGCTCCTCACTAGCATATTCCCAGTCCATGAAGGGTGCTGCGTTAAATTGGGGTGCCAAGGGGGTCACGCTCCCAGCCCCTTAGTCCGAGGGGTCTGGGCCCTTCTGCCCCCTACAAGTGTGAACCCTACATGATGCATACGGTCTCCGTTGCTTCTCTACCCCCCTGGCGTGGCTGGGGACTGGCATTCGCCCCAGCCCACGCTCTGATTCTAGCCCTTCCCTAGCCCCCTCAGGCGGTTACTCCTTGTGCTGGGAGGGCACTTGAACGTGCCTCTTGCCACTGTCGCCCCGCTGTTCACTCCCCTGGGGGCTCTGCTGGGGTGCTCGTCGGGCGTGGGGAATCCACGCCCTTAGTGGCGCCCCGTGCGTCCCCAGCCGACTCCCCCAGAGGAGTATAGAACAGCATTGGCACGGGGAGGAGGAGGAGGAGGAGGAGGAGGAGGGGGAGCAGGTGGAGGAGGGAGGAGGAGGAGGAGGAGGAGGACGACGAGGACGAGGACGAGGACGAGCAGGGGGAGGAGAACTAGGAGGAAGAGGGCGCCCCCCACAGGCTTGTGGTCGAAGGGAAGTCCCGATTCACGGTTGAGCGCTTCGAGCAGACATCGCCCCTGCTCGTGGCCACGGTGCGGCCAGTCGAGGAGGAGCCAGACGCGCACGCGCAGGACGTGTCGGTGTTGGCGCTCATGCGCAACATCCAGGAGAAGCTGACCGACCTCCTTCCTCCTGCGCCTTCCCCCTCTTCCTCAGTTTGCCCCTCCTCTCCCCTCCCAGGCCCCCCGCCTCATCCTCCTATCTTCCTCCTCTCCTCCTCGCCCCCCCCCCTCGCCATCCTCCATCCTCATCTCCTCCCCTCTTATCCCCCCCACGTTCACCCACCTCTGATGTCCGCCGTCGCCTCCCCTGCCTCCTCTTTATCATCCTCGTCCTTCCCCTCATCCCCCTCCGCCTTGGTCTCCTGCTCCCACCCCTCATCCGCCTTGCCCTCCTGCTCCCCTCCCCCTCCCTCCCAGGAGAGGCTCACCGAGCTCCTGAAGAGCGGCCCGGAGGGCGGCAAGCGGCGCCAGCTCCGGTGGCCCTCGTCGGCCGCGGGCCTCGCTGGCGTCGTCGGGGCCACGCTCGGCCAGGTTCAGAGAAGCAGCAGAGGAGGAGGAGGAGGAGGAGGAGGAGGAGGAGGAGGAGGAGGAGGGAAGGAGGAGGAGGAGCCGGAGGAGGAGGAGGAGGAGGAGGAGGAGCAGGAGAACCAGTGTCAACCCAAGACTCATCAACGATATTGCATTAAACCCTCCCTACAAGCTCCCTCGTCATAGGCCCCTACAAGGGTTCATTTTCACTCAAGAATGTTCCCCGTTGGAAGACAGCCGTTGTCCAAAATCCTGAACTGCGCCAAAACATGATTCCTGGGGCTTCAATGCCGCGAATCACCGTTATCGTTGCGTCGTGACGGTCCTGAATCGCTCCAGAACGCCATTGTTGGGATTCCAGCACCGCGAATCAACGTAATTGTTGCGACCCGACAGTCCAACATCGAGCCAGAACACCATTTCTCGTAAGTTCACCTTGAGAATCCTCGAAACTGCTGTAAACTCTTAAGACGAATGCACGCGCGAGAGCCACATTTTGAAAAGGATCCGCCCTCCATCCGTGAAGCTTTTGCAAATCTTCAAAGCGAACGTGCGCGGCGCTACGGCGAGAGCCACATTTTGAAAAGGAACCGCCCTCCATGCGTGAAACACTTGCAAGCGTGTACTGCAGATACGCGCGGCGCTACGGCAATAGCCACATTTTGAAAAACGCCGCCCTCCATCCATGAAGCTCGTGCAATGCGTTTAAAGCGAATGTGCGCGGCGCTATGGCGAGAGCCGTATTTTGAAAACGGCCCGACTCCAATCCGTGAAACATTTGCAAGGTTTCAGGTAAGATTTAATGCCCAGCCCGCCCTACCAACACCCCTTGGGGTGCGACAGGGAGGAGTTTCTCATAAGGAATCGGGGAGGAAGGATGAGGAGGAGGAGGAGGAGGACAGCCCCCCCCCCGCCCCAGGCCGCGCTGGCCGGCGGCGGTGGCACCTCAGATAACAAACAATTCTGGGTACAACGACGAGTACAGCAACGTGATGGAGGTCGACATAGACCCTGGCGCTGCAGCGACGGTGGGGGAAGATGGTGTCCCTCATGCCGCGGCAGCGGGTGCACATTCTGTGGCGGCCGATTTTGGCAGTGCTTCCGGCGCTGCTGCTGCTGCTTCTGCTACTGATTCAGGTGATGGTGGTGTTCCGCTTCTACCCCAGCTCCAGGAGCCGCCCCACGGACGAGGGTGCGCGCGTGGACGGCGAGCTTGCAGCCACTGCGGCGGCACGTGGTCCTCTGCTACGCATGAATCCAGGGGTTCGGCCACCGTTGGCTGTCTCCGCCAGCAGTGAAGCACGAACGAAAGAGCTCGAGCCTGTGCAGTGAGGCTCGAGGAGAAGAGGAAACCGCAGCGGTATCAGATGACGATAACGATGTTCATGGCACATGATGCTCCACATTGCGTTACGGCTTTTTTGCGCCACGCGAGGCGGGTTTGTGAAGGTGACGGCGGAGACTTGTCAAGCACAGGGCGGGGGGGGCCCTGGTGGGACTTGAAAGGGCGGGCACCTTGACCCAGAAAGGCCTGAACCCCCACTGGGGTAGCGGGGACGAGAGAGAGAGAGAGAGAAAGAGAAATCAAAAAAGAGACAGAACAGACAGACAGAGGCAGAGACAGAGACAGACACAGAGACAGAGACAAAGAGAGAGAGAGAGAGGGGAATAGAGAGAGAGGGGGCGAGAGGCAGAAGCAAGGAAGAGGGAGCTCGCACACCTCTGGGGGTTGAGAAAGCGCAGCGCTCACATCAAACAACTAAACTGTCTTCGCCAGCAGCGAAGCATTAACGAAAGAGCACGAGCCTATGCAGCGAGGCTCGAGGAGGACAGGAGGCGGCATCGGCATCTGACGGCGTTTCGCAAGAGCTTGACCGCCGTGCTACAGCGCGGCAGTGCGGAGGCACTGCCGCCTTGCCCGCTGGGCTGAGCGCCCCCTGCTGGGCCGACCGGCGACGACGCGCTTTGCGGCGCGGACGCGGCAAGGGACATCGGCTGGGCCGCGCGGTGGGCGATTGGCGCCCCCTCCGGCGGCCGGCGCCAGGAAGCATGCCGCCAGAGCGCTGGCAGCGGCGGTTGGGCCTGGCGCGCAAGCGCGCCCAAGCGGCTGCTCCGGCGGTCGCGGCGGCACAAGCTCAGCTGCGCGAGGCTCTGACGATGGCCACGGTGCTCTTCTCCCAGGTCGGGCTAGAGCTCAGTGTCGCCAAAACCACAGCGTGGTGCCCCGACGGCTGGGCCGCCTCGTTGCCAGACGGCGCTGGGGCCTGGATAGTCGACGCCCTCCCGTGCCTGGGCAGCACAATGAGCTTCGTTAAAACCCGCCCTGACGAGGACGACGACGAGTGGCGGGATGCTCACGCGGAGATCCTCGCTCACACCTCTCTGGCTGCCGCGGCCCCGCGGCTGGCGGCCTTCGGCGACGCGCTGGAGGGCATGGAGGGCCAGTCTGGAGAAGCAGTACAGCTTCACGCTGCCCCGCACCTACGCCAACGGCACCGCGAGCCAGGTTGGCACCGCGCGGCCGATGGCCGTTGCTTGACGACGGGGCGGCTACGCAGGCTGAGCGCCATATGGGACTTAGTCTCACTGCAAACGGTTGGGGGGTGCTCTTCCTGCCCGCCAAGCAGGGGAGTGCTGGTGTCGGGCTTGCCGAAAGCCGACGCGGCATGGCTGGGCTCGTGGCGCGTTGTCCAGGCCGCCGCGAGGGCGGGGCAGGCGGCGCCCAGTTTGGCCAGGGCGGAGGAGGCCACGCCGAAGCTCACTGCCGCGGCGTCCGAGGCCAAGGCAAGGTTCCGCGCCGACGGCGCGTGGGCGCACTGAGATTCCCGGTGCGTGGCCAAGCAGAAATCTTACACTCGCCAGGTGGTGGATCGCCGGCACCGCTGGCTCCCCGACCGCCTCTCCGAGCCAGAAGCGGTGCCCCTCCAGTCCCACGGCGGAACAGGGTCCACGGCGCTCGAACCGCCCTCGCGGGCTGAGCACGTCGTCGGTGACGACGAGTTCGCCGTGACCTGGCGCCGGCGGCTGCTCTTCGAGCACCCACCTGGCAATGGCGGCAGACCCTGCTGCAACGCCGCCCGCGGCACCATGGTGCCATGCGAGGCCCAGACGCACGAGCCGCTCGTTGCGCACGCCGGCAAATGTCCCGTGAGACGTGGGCTCGTGCGCCGCCACCACGGCGCGCGGGGCGGGCGGGTGGTTCGCTAAGCGCTGCAAGCAGAACGCGGTCCGCTTCGGCGCCCGGGGCGCGGGCGCTCGCAGCGCAGGGCGCCGGCCAGGGCGCTGGACGGCCGCCTGGAGCGCGCGGCTGCCGGCGCCGCCCAGCGGCGGCGGCGGCGTTGGCGCGGCGGCGGGCCACGGTCAGCGGGCGCGGCGCGAGGACGGGCGCGGCCGAGCGGACGCGGCAGCGAGCGCGGTGCGGTCCGCGAAGCCCGCGAGCCCTGCATCGGATTCTGGAGGGCCCCGCCGCCACGAGAGGGAGGAGGGAGGGAAGACGAGGAGGATGAAGAGGACGGGGAGGACAAGGAGGACGAGGAGGAGGAGGAGGAGGAAGAAGAAGAAGAAGAAGGGGTGAGGGGGAGGAGGAGGGAGGGATGACGAAGATGAGGACGAGAACGAACACGAGGAAGAGGAGGAGGGAAGACGAGGAAGAGGAGGGGGAGGAGGAGGAGGAGGAGGAGGGAGGAGGAGGAAGAGGAGGAGGAGAGAGAGGAAGAGGAAGAAGAAGAAGAAGACCAAGAAGAATGGGGGAGGGGGGGAGGAGGGAGGGATGACGAGGATGAGGACGAGAATGAACATCAGGAAGAGGAGGAGGGAAGACGAGGAAGAGGAGGGGGAGGAGGAGGAGGAGGAGGACGAGGACGAGGAGGAGGAGGAGCAACAGGGAGGAACAAATGCACGATGATGCTGCTGGTGATGATGATGCTGATGATGGTGATGTTAAGGAGAAGGAGGAAGAGGAGGAGGATGAGAAGGAGGAGGAGGACGGCGACGACGGCGACGACGACGACAATGGTGATGATGCTGATGATGATGATGATGATGATGATGATGATGATGATGATGATGATGATGATGATGGTGATGGTGATGGTGATGGTGATGGTGATGGTGATGGTGATGATGATTTTGATGGTGATGATGCTGATGATGATGGTGATGGTGATGATGGTGATGATGGTGTTGGTGATGACGATGGTGATAGTAATGATGATGGCGATCGCGACGACGATGATAATGATAATGATGATGGTGATGGTGATGGTGATGATGACGATGATGGTGATGATATTGGTGGTGGTTGTGGTGATGATGGTGGTGATGGTGATGGTGCTGATAATGGTGATACTTCTGATGATGGTGATGACGATGATGGCGATGTTCATGAGTATGGTCATGAGCATGGTGATGATGATGATGATGATTGTGATGATGATGGTAATGGAGATGGTGATGACGACAGTAATGATGCTGGTGGTGATGGTGATGATGGTGACGATGATAATGGTGGTGATGACTGTGGTGATGATGATGATGATGATGATGATGATGATGATGATGATGATGGTGATGATGATGGTGATGGTGATGGTGATGGTGGTGGTGTATACGGTGGTGATGGTGACAATACCGATTGTCATGAGGAACATGAGGAGCAATTGGAGAAGGAGGAGGAGGAGGAAGAAGAGGAGGAGGATAGTGGTCGTGATGATGACGCTGATGATGATGAAGGCAAGGAGGAGGAGGAGGAGGAAAAGGAGGAGGGGGGTAGTTATTATGATAATGACGAGTAGGAGGAGGAGCGTTCATCAAACTCGCTAGGACCGCCAGGAGGAGGAGGGAGGGCAGAAGAGGGTCTTCAAGGCATGCTCCCGCCAGGTTCCTGTTGCCGAGAGGCAGCGCATCCTAGAACTGCGCGACGTCAAGGAGCAGCTGGAGTATGTGCTCGAGCTTGTCCAGCACGAGTCGGAGGCGAGGAGGATCTCTAACGAAATCAGCGCGGGCATCCAGAAGACGCGCGAACAGGAGCTGAAGAGAGTGGTGTTGCAGCGGCAGATCCAAGAGGTGCAGAAGGACCTGCGCCGTCTCCGGGGGAGGGTGCAGCGCGATGCTGAAGACCCGAGCAAGGAAGTTGCAGAGGACGACGCGGGGAACAACGACGGCGAAGAGGAAGAAAACGAGGTAAAGATCCTCAGCGACAAGATATCCAAGGCGGGCCTTCCCCCGGACGCACTGCGCGCGGCAAAAAAGGAGCTCAGGAGGCTGAAAGGCATTCAGCCGCAGCATCCAGAGTACACGATCACCCACTCGTACCTCGAGCTGCTATCGGTACTACCGTGGCAGACGAGCTCCGAGGACTGCTTCGACCTTGCCCGTGCGCGCGCCGTCCTTGACGAGGACCACCGCGGATTGGATAAGGTCAAGGTCCGGATTCTCGAGTTCCTCGCAGTGCAGAAGATGCGCGGGAACATGCAGGGCCCCATCCTCTGCCTTCATGGCCCTCCAGGCATTGGGAAGACATCTTTGGGCCGCTCCATCTCGCGAGCCATGGGCCGGAAGTTTCACAGGATCGCTCTGGGAGGAGTCCGCGACGAGGCGGAGTTGCGTGGCCACAGGCGCACATACATTGGCAGCATGCCGGGAGTCATCATTCAGGCATTTCAGACCCTCTCTGTGAACAACCCAGTGATCCTGCTGGACGAGGTGGACAAGATGTCGCAGAACTCCATGTCCAATCCGCAGGCCACCCTCCTGGAGATCTTGGACCCGGAGCAGAACAGCACGTTCAAGGACCACTACCTGAACACGCCGTTTGACCTCTCCAGGGTCCTGTTCATCTGCACCGCAAACGACACCTCGCTGCTCGACCGCCCGCTGCTGGACCGCATGGAGGTCATCGAGCTCTCCGGCTACACCCCGGAGGAGAAGCTGGCCATCACCGCCTCCCACCTGCTGCCCAAGCAGCGCCGCCTGCACGCCCTCGAGCCGCCAGGGGCCCCGGACCGCAAGCCCGAGGGCGCCGCGCAGCCCAGGGACGCGCCCGCCGTCGAGTGCGAGCCGCTCGGCGCGGCCGCGGAGCTCCCGCCGAGGCTCCACGTCACGGAGGCCGCGATCCTGGGGATCATCGCCAGGTGGACCTCCGAGAGCGGCGTGCGCAGCCTGGAGCGCAGGCTGGCACAGATCTGCCGCTGGGCCGCGCTGCGGCTGCAGGGCGTCAGCATGCCGCTGAACGCGGGCACCGAGCGGGACCACGAGCAGGAGGATCGAGGCGGAGAGAGAGAGAGAGGGAGCGGCAAGAGCCTTCGGAGCTCCGCGCGGAGGCCCGGGCTCGGCGCTGGACCCCCCGGGCGGCGCTTCCAGCGCCTCTTGGCCAAGGAGAGGGGTTGGCGCCGATCCAAGAGACTCGCACGGAGCTGCGAAAGCATGCGTTTACGCAGTTTCCTGTTGTCGTTTACCTTCGTTTTCTTGTTATGCGTTTTCCCACAGGAAGCCCTGTCCGCGTGCGGGCCCATCGAGGGAGTCATCACCGTGGACGCGCAGCACCTGCCGTACATCATCGGCAGCGAGATATTCGAGCTGGACATCGCGGAGAGACTGATGGTGGGGGTGGCCATGGGCCTCAGCGTGTCAACCACGGGCGGTCAGCTGCTCTTCATCGAGGCCACCCGCAGCAGGGGCACGAACAGGCTGACCATCACAGGCCAGCTCGGGAAGGTCATGACCGAGAGCGTCGAGACCGCCCTGTCTCTCCTGAGGAGCCGCTTCGTGCGTGTGGACGCGGGGCGAGGCGACGTGCCGGGCGAGGCGCAGAGTCTGAAACGGCTCCCCGGCGTGCCCGAAGCTGGCGCAGCTTCCGCCGCCGCTGCCGACGGCCCCTTCCCGGGCGAGGACGTCCACGTGCACTTCCCCGCCGGGGGCATCCCCAAGGACGGGCCTTCCGCTGGCGTCGCGGTCCTTCTCGCCCTGGCCTCCCTCTGGCTGAACCGCCCCATGCGGAGCGACACCGCCGTGACCGGGGAGGTCAGCCTGCGAGGCAGCGTGCTGCCGGTGGGCGGCATCCGGGACAAGGTGCTGGCCGCCCAGAGGGCGGGCGTCGGTCACGTCCTGCTGCCGCTGGCGAACAAGCGCAACGTCCTTGAAGACGTGCCCGCAAGGGTGCTGCAGGGCGTGGAGGTGCACTACGTCAGTCACGTCGACGAGGCTCTGGAGTGGGCCTTCGGAGCCGCCGCGGGCGGCGCCCTCCCTGCGGAGGAGGCGGGCGTGCAAGAGGTCGCCTACCTGAGGGCGCGGCTCTGAGCTGAGCCGAGGGGGCGGGGTGGAGAGGGGGTGGGGGGGGAGTGGAGGAGGAGGAAGGAGGAAGCTGGAAGGAGGGAGGGAGGGACGAGGAGGAGTGAGATGGCAAACATCAGGGGGGAGGAGAAGGAAGAGGAGGAGGAGGAGGACGAGGAGGATGAGGAGGAGGAGGGAAGTGGACGAGGAGGAGACGGATATTGCCTGGATTTTGCTTGCCTGATCAATTCCACGATTCTCGTGGATGCGGAGCCGACGTAAAGGGCTCACCCATCCCCAGGCCCATCCTGGGCGACATCTGATTGCCTCATGAGAGCTCCGCTGGCGGTGGGTGCCTCCCTGAGCTCTCCGTCCCGCGGCCTGTCTTGCAAGCCTTGTACCCTCGGCCACTTCTGGCATGAGCGACCCCCAGCATTGCAGCTGATGATGCTTCGCCTCTCTGCCCTCCCCGCACGACCTGATCCCAGCACTGTAGCGGATGACCTTGGGCTCTAGCTTCGCGTTCCACGTCTCGCTGGGGGGCGGTAGGGGCTGCTGCCACGGCTCGCCCTTCTCGCACGCGCTGCTGCCATCGGGCTCCAACTCCACTTCCAGCTTCTCGCAGGCCTTGATCCCCGCTCTGTAGCTGACGATGTCGGGCTTTATCTTCGCCTTCCACTTGCCTTCTTCTCGCAATGCCGAATCCTGCTGCCACTGCTTGCTTTTCTCGCCTTGGTGAAGCATGATGCCAAAGTCTGCCGTCTCGCACGAACTGCTCCTCGGTTTGGCGTCTCCCGCACGAACTGGCCCCAGCACTGTAGCTGATGACGTTGGCTCGTGCGTTTTCGCCGTACCCACGCGAACTAGTCCTGGCCCTGTAGCTGGTGACGTTGGCCCGCGCAGGCTCGCCCTCGTAATGCGGCTGGCTCCCTGTAGCTGATGCTGTCGGCCCACACCTCGTTTCTCGCATAGTAGCTGATGATGTGTGGATCGTTCCTGCTACCACTGCCTGCTTCCTCGCACTGGCAACCACTGTTGCCACTGTCTGCTTTCTCGCACCGACAGTTCCCACGCTGCCTCTGCCCGGCTTCTCGCCCAAGCTGGCCCCAGCAGCGTAGTACCCGATGGTATGTGGCCCATGTGTGCTGCCACTGCCTGCCTTCTCGCACTGTCAGCCACCGGTGCCACTGCCTGCCTTCTCGCACCAAATGTCCACGCTGTCACTTGCTGGCTTCTCGCACGAGCTGACCCCAGCAGCATTGTGGCTGATGACGTGTAGCTCGCGCTGATGCCATTGCCTGCCTTCTTGCACCGACAGCCCCGGCTGCCACTTCCTGCTTTCTCACACGAGTTGGTCCCAGCATTGAAGCTGATCGTGGCTGGTTCCTGCTCCTCGTTCTGGCGGCGGTGGAGGTGAATGGGGCACCTTACGCCACTGCCGACGGCCTTTTCGCATTTACAGGCAGTGTTGCCACTGCCTGCCTTCTCGCACGAGCTGCCCACAGCCTAAATATAGCTGATGACGTTTGGTTCTTGCTTCCTCAGCGGACGTCGACAATAGTTGCACGATTTTATCCCAGCGCTGCAGCTGATGATTATGTGTAATTCTAGACGCTTCGCGTAACCCCACCAGCCCATCCAGAAACGATGCCCAGAGGAATTGCCTCGATCAGGGAAGTGGGCAGCACACGGAGGAAGGGTCCCCCAGTGGAGGCCTCTTGGAGCGTCTTGGGTGCCTCGGAGAGCGTCTCTTGGGAGCATCTTGGAGGCCTCTTGGGCGCCTGTTGGGACCTCCTGAGCGCCTCTTGGGGCCCTCTTGAAGCGCTCTTGGGAGCCTTGGGAGCGCTCTTGGGGCCATCTTGGAGGACATCGATCAAACAAGCAGCGAGCATTAGTTAGCGTTGCCCCTCGGGAGCCCAAAACATCGCCTCTTGGGGCGCTCTTGGAGCGCTCTTAGGCGCTCTTGGGGCCGTCTTGGGGCTCTCTTGAGCCTCTCTTGGTGCCCTCTTGGGCCATCTTGGAGCCATCTTGAGGCCTCGAATGGCCATCGGAAGCGAAAAGGCGAGAAAGCCAAACACATAGATGTTCCTAAGGTTTTGGCCTCTTCGGGGCCTCCTAGGGGATCTTTTTGGCCAATTGGAGCCGTCTTGGAGCGGCCTTGGTGCATCTTGGAGCATCGTGGGAGCCATTATGAGACATCGTGGGATACATTGAGCCATCTTGGAGATCATCTTGGGCTCTCCCAGGCGCTCTTGGAGTTATCTTAATCAGTGCCCCCCCCCCCAAGAGGCCAACATGTGGCTCCTTAGTAAAATCAATGATTTGGCATTCTCGCCGAGCATCTTGGGTGCCTCTGGGGGGTCTCTTGGGGCCTCTTGGAGGTCTCTCGGGAGCGTCTTGGGTGCATCCTGGGGGCCCCTTGGGGCTACCTGGCCACCTCTTGGGGCCCTCGTGGGGCACCCTTGGGGGCCATCTTTGGGCCATCTTGGGTGAGATCGATCACAGGAGGGGGGTCCCTAATCAGGGCCCCCCCCTCAGGAGGCCAAAATGGGGCCACAACCCTAGTAAAACCAATGATGTTGGCTTCCTCGCCGAAGCCGTGTTGGACGCCCTGACACCTCGCGAACCCCCACGTCCAGGTCCAGGGGAGGGGGCAAGGGGAGGGGTAAACCCCTCCCCGAAGGGGAAGAAGGAGGTTGGAAGAGGAAACTCCTTAAACCACCTACGCCCAGAGGGCTGGTGGGATTACCTTGAGAGTGGAATCCTGCACTGCTGCAGCGGCCCCGCATCGGCGGTCACTGCGGGCCAGGGGGCGGAGGAGGGGGTGGAAAGGGAGGGGGAGGAGAGCGGGGAAAGGACGGGAGAGGGCACACCCTCTGGCTATCCCGCCCGCACCTGATCTGTAGCTGACGATGTTTGGAGCCGCGTCTCTTGACGGCCATCGAGTACGAGGCCACGTCGAAGTCGGCGCTCGGAACGCCCGCGTGCGCCCCATGCAGGGGGGTGTGCTCGGACGCGAACTGACTGGAGGAAGCGGGAGTGGAAGAGAAGGAAATGGACGAGGGGGAAGCTGCGAGTGAGCTTGCGGCGCTGCCGCCGTCGCCTGCCACGTGTTTCCCTCGCGCCGCATTCGCACACCTGTCGTATGTCAGATCCCCTTTCTTCTCATCATCGTTCCTTTTCCGCTCTTCTCCTCCTCCTCCTCCTCCTCCTCCTCCTCCTCCTCCTCCTCCTCCGCCTCCTTTTGTTCCTCCTCCTCCAGCCGCCGCCACGGCCCACAGGACACGTCCGCCGCGGCCGACGGTACCCCCCAGGACATTCGCCAGAGAAGCAGCCCAGTGTCCTTTGTTTCTCTCTCCCTGCGGGGCCCGCTGGGCCCACGGTGAGAGGGGCAGCCGCTCCCGAGAGGAGGTCGCCGGCTTCTCGCCGCAGGCGGTCCCTCCGACATGCCTTCAGCATCGACAGATTCGGCGGCGGCCACCCCTCGTCCGAGATTGGGCATGCGTTCCTAGACTTGCAACCCTATGTGCTTGACGGGAGCTACACAAGGGACATAACTACCAGAATAATTTCGCAACGTGCACGCGATCATGACGCTTGGTACGGGTCGGCGCCGCGGAGCTTGTGAACACCAGCTCTCTTTACATCCGCATCATTGGGAAGTTCTATTCGGATGGAGCCGCGTGTCGAACAAATCATGTGGGACAAGCGCATTCATGCACAACCGACGCTTGCCTCGCACCAGCCTGCGACGGATTTATTCGCCACCACCCAGATAGGCAGGCCGATGCGGAGCCGCACGGCTCAAGACGTTTAGTTCAGACGTACCAGTGATGGTGATCTACTTTCCAAGCTATATTGCTGGCAGAGTTGGCCGCGCGGAATACCGCACACTACAACATAACGTCTGGTGGCATGGGCCCGAGAAGTTCTGGGATCGATATGCACACGTTGCACACCTTCCAAAGGCATAGACTTTGAACGATCGACTCGGCTTCCCGTCCCCAGGCGAACAACCACAAGCAGCAGCATCAACACAGAACCAGCACGACTTGTTTACGGGCATGGGGATGTATCCGTTGGAACGACTGACGCGGAGGAAGAAGGCCAGGCAGGACGATTGTGGCACCAGCTGTTGATCGATACCGACATGTGCGCTCGCAACACTTTGCACAGTGCGGGACCCACGAATTCCTGAGGAATGGTCACAGCAGCCGCGTCGAATTCATCCGCACAACGACGACGTTACGTTCCAGGGCCCGCCACTGCAAGACGCTGGCGGCAGCGGGACTACGCCACCAGCCCATCAGTACTCGACGACCACGACTGCCGACCGTTGATGGCGGAGTTCGACTACACCTTCGAGCCGCACCACCAACCACGCCAGTCCTGGAACCATGACCTCATAGTGGCCAGACGTACGCGGCACCGACTCCTGCACCAACATCGTCGAAGCAGTCCACCAGTCCATTTTGGATATCCCAGAGGCCTGGTGGGTATGCATGTGAGCTCGTCCTACCTGCGACGAGCTGTGGAACGCTACGACCTCCACTCTGGTCAACGCGGCGAAGGAGCACTTCTTGCGACCCAAAGAGTTGCAACGGGAGAAGCCCAGGCTGGAACGACAACGGAGTGCAGCACTATTTCGGCGACGTCAACTTCGCAAGGCACATGTGGGTACACATGAGGATCCACAACTGGAAGTGGAGACGGAACTGGCCAGACTTACTTTTCGCATACGAAAGTCTGTCACGGAAGATCACAATACAGACAAACAGCGCTATCACACAGCAGCTCAACGAGGCATGGTCGAACCACGACCACCCCTTGGTTCAGAAATTGCTAAGACGCTTGGCACGGAGGGGGCGGGGACCACGGCAGAGAAGCTACTTCACGGCGCGAGGCGAGCAATGCGAACCATTGGACATTTCCTACTTCCTACAGCAACCAGCAGCTTCAGGCGGTCTTGCGGCCTCCCCTTGCAACCTACAGAAGGAGCTTCTGGAACGGTTCGACAGACTCTTTATTGATGAGGCGGAGCTCCAACGTACG